CATACATATATATTTTATTGTCAGTGCACACATCATAACAGATAATAGCAAGTGGAGTCTACACTTCCCGAGTGTAGTGGAGTAGGAATCATTTATTATCCAACTTGATGGGATTGTCAAGTGCTTTTTACTATGCACATGACCTTGGATTTGACTCCCAGGGTTATAAAAAAAGAGACAGGCTGTAACAGTAAGTTTATTAAGTTACGTTTAATTGCCAAAACCAAGATGAGTCCAGATAAAATGAATTTTTCTGATAAACCCCTGATTCCAGGGGAATTAGAGATTAGGGAGTAGAAACAATCTCTAGCTAGAAAAGTTACTTTTACTGTTTTCAGTGACTCTTTATTAGCTGAGTGATATTACAGATACAAATCACTTTTTAGTGAAAGAGCACAAGCTGAATTTAAAACGTTAGCCATTGCATGCAATTGAATGGAGAATATTATTCAAAAGAGGAGGGATTATATAAGTAAGGGGTTATCAAGATCATGAAGCAGAAACCACAGAGACAACTGACCCAAGCTAGTGGGAGCACCGGTTCACCTGCGCGCCAAGCTCTAGTAGGTAGCGCGCGATCTCACGGTGGCCCTTATAGCAGGAGATCATGAGGCACGTGTGGCGTGGCGGTTGGCTACCTCCAGGTCGGCCTTGTGCTCGCCCACCAGGTAGTGCACCACGTCCAGGTGGCCGTCGAAGCAGGCGGCGCGCAGCGGCGTGGAGTTGGTGCGGGTGGTGCGGTTGACCGAGGCGCCGCGGCGCAGCAGGCTCCGCACCACCCGCACCAACTCCACGCCGCTGCGCGCCGCCTGCTTCGACAGCCACCTGGACGTGGTGCGCTACCTGGTGGGCGAGCACAAGGCCGACCTGGAGGTAGCCAACCGCCACGGCCACACGTGCCTCATGATCTCCTGCTACAAGGGCCACCGTGAGATCGCGCGCTACCTGCTGGAGCGCGGCGCGCAGGTGAACCGGCGCAGCGCCAAGGGCAACACGGCCCTACACGACTGCGCCGAGTCCGGCAGCCTGGAGATCCTGCAGCTGCTGCTGGGCTGTCACGCGCGCATGGAGCGCGACGGCTATGGCATGACCCCGCTGCTGGCCGCCAGTGTCACCGGGCACACCAACATCGTGGAGTACCTCATCCAGGAGCAGCCCGGCCACGGGCATCTCTCGGGGGCGGAGCTGCCCGGGGAAGGGTCCCCCCAGGGGGCACGCAGCGGCCGCTCCACCCCTGAGGAAGCAGAGCCTCACGAGAGCTGCTGCCCCACCAGCCGTGAAGCGGCCGTGGAGGCTTTGGAGCTGCTGGGAGCCACGTACGTGGATAAGAAAAGGGATCTTCTCGGAGCCCTGAAGCACTGGAGAAGGGCAATGGAGCTCCGCCACCAGGGTGGGGACTACCTCCCCAAGCCTGAGCCCCAACAGCTGGTTCTGGCCTACGACTACTCCAGGGAGGTGACCACACCCGAAGAGCTGGAGGCCCTCATCACAGATCCTGATGAGATGCGGATGCAGGCCCTGCTGATACGGGAGAGGATCCTGGGCCCCTCACACCCTGACACTTCATACTACATAAGGTACCGGGGTGCTGTCTACGCAGACTCTGGAAATTTCGAGCGCTGTATCCGTCTTTGGAAGTATGCCTTGGATATGCAGCAGAGCAACCTGGAGCCCCTGAGCCCCATGACGGCCAGCAGCTTCCTGTCATTTGCGGAGCTCTTCTCTTATGTGCTGCAGGATCGCTCCGCCAAGGGCAACCTGGGCATGCAACTTGGTTTCCCCGACCTCATGGGCGTGCTCAGCAAAGGGGTGCGGGAAGTGGAGCGGGCCCTGCAGCTACCCAAGGAACCGGGGGACTCGGCGCAGTTCACCAAAGCCATTGCCATCATCCTCCATCTGCTGTATCTGCTGGAGAAGGTGGAGTGCACCCCTAGCCAGGAACACCTGAAGCACCAGACAGTCTACCGCCTGCTCAAGTGTGCCCCGCGCGGCAAGAACGGCTTCACCCCGCTGCACATGGCAGTGGACAAGGAGACCACCAACGTGGGCCGCTACCGCGTGGGCATCTTCCCCTCCCTGCATGTGGTCAGGGTGCTGCTGGACTGCGGGGCTGACCCCGACAGCCGGGACTTCGACAACAACACTCCGCTGCACATTGCCGCCCAAAACAACTGCCCAGCCATCATGGATGCACTCATCGAGGCCGGGGCCCACATGGATGCCACTAACGCCTTCAAGAAGACTGCCTATGAGCTGCTGGACGCCAAACTGCTGGCCAAGAGCACCGTGCAGCCCTTCAACTATGTAACACTGCAGTGCCTGGCCGCCCGTGCCCTGGACAGGAACAAGGTCCCTTATAAGGGCTTCATCCCAGAGGAGCTAGAGGCCTTCATCCAGCTGCACTGAGCCTGGCCACCACCTGCCTGCACTTTGGCCTTCTCCAAGCAGAAGCATCCCGTCCTCTTGGCCTGCTGGCAGTGGAGTGAGCCCGACTGTTGGTTCTAGAAACCTTCAGGGTCACATGGTAGGAAGATGGTCTTTCTCTGTGGCAATGCAGAGGGTACTGGGGCCTCCTCAGTGGCACTTGTTTGGTTCTGGAGACCTCTGCCCTGTCACCTGGTCTCCAGCTAGTCTGGTCTCCTAGAGTCCTGTGTACCCGACTCTGTCAAGATGGAGTCAGAAGTCACTGGCGCCTTCCTGCAGTGGGGCACCCGCCACCTAGATGTTTGCTGTTGGTTTGTTGTTTACGAAGCAAGTGGGCAACAGCTTGGAGCCCACATTCTGAGGTTTTTGCTCGGTCTTTTTTTCCTTGGTTTCTGTTTGTTGGACTCAGTAATGACTTAGTTTGAAGTTGCTGCCAGGACTTTGGTGTGACCACAGCTGAAACCAGCATGAGCTGTAAGTGCAGACCTGTGACACACTTCCTGCGAAGCCTCCGTGCTCCCACGCAGGTTAGAGAGAGGACTGGCCCCAAGAAGAGCCAGAGCAAGTGACAGGAACAGCCAGGCTGATGGCTGCCTCCAGCCCCACCTGTGGGATGGACTGACATGCTTCCCAACGTCAGGCTGCAGCTGAGATGGCTGGCAGGTGCTCTGGTCACCAGGTCACATCCCTGCCACACTTGTCCTGTCTCACCTGACCCCAGGTCTTCGTGAGGAGTCCATAGTATCCCCACTAACTACCAGGAGTGGGAAGGTGGGGAGCTGCCCAGGGCTGCGATAGGCCACCCGGGCCCTGAGTGCAGCCCTAGCAGCGCACACTGCCCGAACAACACCAACCTGAGGCACCACCAGCTCTTGTCCCTGTCCTCTACCGTGAGTGGGATTAAACCTGCATCACACCGAGGCAGGAGGTGCACATCCCTGGCTTGTGGGAACCAGCTGCAAGGAGAGAAAGTCTAGTGTGGAGAGGCCAGTCTCTCCCTTGGCCGTGGAAGCTGTCCCGCGAGGACATCGGTGTGTGATTGCAGTGTTAAGTAGCTTGTTCTCTGTATAAAACAAGCCTTAGGCCTTACTGGGCAGAGCCTCACTGCCCCGCCATCCGAAGCTCAGGGCAAACATGAACCCCTGTGAAAATTGGCACTGATATTTATGGATTAAAATACAGGTATGTGAAGGAATCTGCCTAGCTGTTAATTGATGTGGGCAGGTTGTGGGAGGGGAGCCAGGTGAGTGCCTGTCAAGAATGCCTTGTTCATAGACCCGCCACCGGAGCACTGCTGAGGCTGAAGCAGGAGGATCACGAGGTGGAGGCCGTCCTAGGGGACAAAGTGAGTCCAAGCATAGCCTGAGGTGACATAGTAAGACATTAAGTCAAGACTCCCACCCTCTTAAAACCATCTCCTATGAGGTACGGGCCCTACCGAAATGCTCAAATGTGCCCCTGCTTCACGGTAACTGCCTTCTGAAGGAGCTCTTTCCACTCAGGTACCTGTGAACTAGTCCAGAGAGGTTAAGATCACCAGCCGAGGGCCTAGGGACACGTAGCACATGACCAAAGGCCTTACTTGAACTCTCAGCAGTTGACGTGCCCAGATCCATTCCTCTGCCTCAGCACCCTGAACATCTGTCTCATGGGCCTGACTCTGCTGGACATTCCCTGGGAGAGTTGGTCCAGCAGCTCCCAAGGGGTTCTCCTTGGTGGGAACAATAGAATCCCCTGCCGAATCCCCACAGAGTCTGCCTATCCTTCACTATATGGTGTCTGTGATTGGATAAGCCTGTGTCACTTGTGTACCCCAGCCAATCACAACAGCCTGAGAGGCTGCGGTGATTGGTTAAGAGGTAGCCTAAAGACCTGTGGTTATAAGGTTGGAGTTCTGGGGAGGAATTAAAGACTAGAGCAGGGTTTGGTGGCACAAACCTTTTGAAGGCAGAGGTGGGTGGATCTCTGTGTGCAGGGCTATCCTGGTCTACAGAGAGTCCCAGGACAGCCAGGGCCACTAGAGAGACTCCCTCAAAAACAAAGATTCATGCAGGGGAGATGATTCAGTGGATGAGAGTTTGCTACCCGTGAGATTCCAGTTCAACTCCTCAGAACACAGCACCATTGGTGGGTGGATAGAAAGACTGGGAACAAGGAAGGGGAACCCTAACCCCAGTGTGGGGGTGCCAGTCACAGGTGGGTGACATATTCCCATTTGATGCCACACCCTATCCCACTCTGGCTGGCATCACAACAGACTGGCACTTGGTGCTGTGTTCTCTGTTCATATGGAACAGGGCAGTGGCACAGACTGTCTCTTGAGGCTGCACCAGTGTCTGCTATTTCTAGGTAGGGAGCATTCCCGCCCCAGGTTAGACATAGCCCAGTATAGAGCCATGTCACGGGCACTCGGCCAGTGGTACAGAGGGCCCAAGAGGATGGTAGGAGGATTGACGGGCATAGCAGGTGTGGGTGAGGAGGAGGTGGGTCTGGCGCTGTGCATTTGAGACTCTGCACCCGCAGCCTGTCAAGGAGTGAGAGTGAACCAGGCACCAGGCGTGCCATCACACTCCTTCAGTCCCAACAGGGGAGGCCTGGGTCCCTGTGCTCCCTGTGTGGTACAGGACAGCCAGGGCTACAGTGAGACCCTTTCTTGGGGACAGAAACAAACTCCACGTGAGCTTGATGGAGCCTGATCAACAGAAGCTCTCTAGATCACCCATAGGTCTCGCAGCGCTGCCTTCCAGGCTCTGTCCTTCTTAGCTGACTGCTGGCTTTTTAAATTATGTGTGTTGGGGGTGGGGGGCATGCGTGCGAGCGCAGGGTCTGCAGAGGCAGGAAGTGTCAGTTCACCCAGAGCTGGAGCTGTCCTTTCTAGGCAGCAGGCTCATGTAGCCCAGGCTGCCTCGTCTAGAGTGCCGGGGTGACAGGCCTGTGCCATCATGCTTGGTTTGCAAAGCTGTCTTCACATATACACACAGTTTTTAGCATATCAATACTTCAGGGGTGCACAACCATTGCCATTTCCAGAGGTCCCCCATAAGCTGATTTTCAGGCTTGGGGGTGGTCAGCAGTAAGCATCTGTGGATGGAGCCCTGGAACCCAGCCCCCAGCACCAAGAGGAACACTTTTTAAAAACTAACGTTGACTTAATGAGTGCTCTGGCTGGAGAGATGGCTCAGAGGTTAAGAACACTGATTATACAGAGGACTTGAGTTCAAGTCCTAGCAACCACACAATGGCTCACAGCTGTATATAATGAGATCTGGTGCCCTTTCCTGGTGTGCAGGCATACATGCAGACGGCACACTGTATACATAATAAATCTTTATACAAAAAGGAGGGCTCGGTAGGGACAGATGGGCAGGATGAGTGAGGCTGGATTGCCAGTAGCAACCAAAAGGACAGAACCCTCAAAATTAAGAGTTCGATGTGGGCATATCAAAGCTGCAGAGCTGTGGTCAGAGCATTGACCAGCTCACATCTGGTCTGACAGCCTAAGTCTTCAGGGAGAAAAAAACCCCTTCTTGCTTCCCTAAGATTCTGACCACATTCCAAAGCTGCTTAAAGGCCTGGGCTACAGAACAGGCTAAAAATAAAAGCCTTGCCCTGGCATCTGGCAGGAAACTGACCCAGGCAGAAGACGGCACTCTTTGGGTGCTCATCTCAAGGCAGAAAAGCAGCAATCAATCTCACCTTGAAGTCTTGGAGATGGATGCCACCTCTCTGGGCCGCAGTTTCCCTGCCTGCAAGATTTGGAAGGAACACTGTGCTCCTCCAGGAAGGGTATCTGAATAGCCCCTATTGCTGATTTGTCCCAGGGCAGAAACACTCAGCAGTCTGAACTGTGCTCATGACCTCAGGTTGCTGCTCTGGGTGCCCCGATTGAAAGTCTTTTCATGGTGGCACCGCCTTGGCATGTCCCATCATCCCCCACCCTCTTTAACATGTTACAACTATCCCACAGCCCAGGCTGAACTCAAACTCGCTAGTAGCTGAAGTTGACCTTGAACTATTGATTCCCTGGGGATCCCCCAGAAGCTCCACACTCTTGCCCAGCTGTGCCCTGCATCCCCAGGTGGACTTATGCCTGTCAGTTCCTACTGTGCCCTCAGCATCATCACCGCTGGCCAGTGGAACTCGGAGCTCACAAAGGTGGAGGCAGGAACCACAGCAGGCATCCCATTAACTCCTGCGTCAGTGTACCCTGAGTGACGTAGAACGAATAAGACCCACCATCCAGCAGGAAGGGGACAGGGACCAAGGTAGAGCTGAACATCGGCTGAGAGTCAGACGTTTCGTGATCACCTGCTGAGTACCAGAGGGTGGGCGGTGAATAACGGGGTAGCTGTGTGTGGTATTGGGGACATGTGGAAGATAAGGTGGGTGGGGTATAAGAGGGTTTTGATTTGGGGTTTTTGTTTGTTTGCTTCAGAAATAGGGTCTCAGTATGTAGCCCAGACTGGCCTGGCATAAGTTTTAGTTTTTAATTTGAAAGGTTTTTGTTAAGGTAAGGCCTCTCACGTGCTGAGGTGGCCACATGAGCTTCTGGCCTGGGTTAAATGGCTGACCTGAAGTGAGTCTGGGCTGGGGGTGTGTCAGCAGTGCAGCATTTGTCTGGCTCTGTAAGGGCTCTGTGTTGGATCCCCAGTGCCAGAAATAATCATGTTTGGGCACACATATGCACATGTGGATACAGATGTGCATCACACACACACATGTCTGGAGGCCTGGGGCATCATCGTTCAGGGAGCTGCTCACCTTGACTGTTTGGTGGTTTGTTGGGTTTGTATTTGTGTGTGTTTCTCTGTTGTGTGTGTCTTTATGTGTGTCTGTGTGTCTCTGTATATGTGAGCATGTCTGTGTGTGTATGTATGTTGAGTGTGTGAGTGTCCACACACATGACCCATCTGTGAAGGTCAGAGGACAACTCTGGGTACTTGCCTGGGTTTGCACACAGGCCGGCAGGCATGGCCACAAGTGTCTTTGCTGTCTGAGCCCTCTACTGGCTGATTTTGAGTCAATCTCACTGACCTACAGCACAGGTTTGCTGAGCTGGGCTGTCTGGGAATCCCCCTGCCTCTGCCTCCCAGCGCTGGGACCGTAAGTGTGCACCAGCTGTTTCACTTGTGTGCAGGATCAAGCACAAGTCCTGTCATTCAGCAAGCACGTTACCCACTAAGCCCTCTCCCCGGCCCCAGAGTAACAACTTTTAAATGAAGTGGGCGCAAAAGCCCCAAGGAAGAGCCTTGGGTTTGGGTTCTTTGTTTTGTTTTGTGTTAATATTTTTATGGGTGTTTGCGTGCATGTATGTCTTTGCACCACATGCATGTCTGGTGCCCACAGGGGCCAGAAGAGGGTATTGGATTCTCTGGAGCTAGAGTTATATATGATTGTTAGCTGCCAAGTGAGTGAGTGGAACTAAACCCAGGTCCTCTGTGAGAGCAGCCATGCTCTAACCACAAAGCTGTCCCTCCTGCCCCAAGAGCTTGGATTTGACCAAAATTCTGAGGACGTTAAGAGGGAGCCACAGAGGAATCAAGAAGCACAGCTTTCCAGCCAGAGTCATAAAGGTCCTCGCCTAGAGGAGGGCCTGTCCCCTCAGGGCCACAGCAGCCTTCACCTGAAGTGTGTACCACAGTGAGAGGAGGAGAGCGCCACCCAGGGTTGTATCCAAGTCCTTTCTGGAACAACCTGTAGGAACCCACTGTGCCCCTAGGGCTGTCATCACCTTCCAGAAAGTTCTACCCGGTGTGGGCAGAAGCCAGGAGGGCCTTGGCAGGTGGCATGGCTTCCTCTTTTCAGTTCCCTGAGGAGGGCCCACAAGGCTGGTTGGAGCCAGGTCATGGTAACCCTGGATTAAGCCCAGCACTACACTCCGAGCCAAGAAAGGGGTGTTGCCAGATGTTTCTCAAACAAGCTGCAAATGAGCAGAAGCCTGTTCCTGTCCATGGCTCACCCCAGCCGTCTACAGACACGGGAGCCACTCCGCTGCCTGTGAGGCCGCCAAGCCTCAGCACCCGAGCTGGAGCCCTGGGACCCAACAGAAGAAGACGACTGACCACTGTAGCTTGTGCTCTGCCCTCCACACACCTGCTCACATAAAAAGTGTAAAAAGCTCAGGCCAAACCCCAGCCACACTCTCTGGCTTGGAGAGAACATTTGTAAAACAATCCCTTAAGAACATCCAGCATG